AGTTTTAGCATTAGAACTTTTTTTGTCATGAATGTGTTAACTTTGTGAGGCAGTAGTGTATGCCATTTTGCTGCACATCATGCGGTAGCTTGTGTCTGTGCTTTGGTATCTCATGCACTGATTTAGGTAGGGCTTTTATAGCTCACAGTCAAATTGTTGGCACTGAACTTAGCAAATGACAGGAGCTTGAAATTAGATTCCCAGGATTGTCTGAACATCAGTGTCACAGATGCTCCTTTCCTGCACTGTTTTGTTTTTTAATTCCAACGGTAGTTCTCACCTTTGTTTTTAAATGCTGTCCTCCTTTTCACTAATGCAAGGAGCATTGATGGTGCACAGATCCTTGGAGGTGGAGTTCTCATGTCTGCTTCAGAAGGCAAGTTTAATTTCATTTGCATTTGTAAGAACTGCAACAAGTATGCCAGCAGCCAGCCTCACAGCAATGAGAATGAGACCATCACAGGTTCAGACAAGAGCCTGAAAATCTCCAGGTGCTTCAGGCACTCGCTAACCAGCTGCGTGCAGCGGAGAACAGCTCCCGCATCTGTGAAGTGAGCAGCGAGGGCTGGGATCAAATCACTTGGCAGTATCCTCAAGGCCATGTCCTTGCAGAAGTCTAGAGTCTCTCTGACACAGGACAAATGATTGCTATTTTACAAGAGAGATATCATTAACAATTGCACTTTGGGAGTTTCCAGCCTTAGGTTGTTATCATTAAGTGAGCAGTCACTTCAGTGGGGGAAGTTACTACGTGGGTGTGCCAGGATATTCAATATATGGAAGAAACAGTATTGGAAGCAGTAAGGTTCCAAAGTTGCCATGGGTCATGTATGGGACATACACCTGAACTCCATCTTCCCTTCCTTTTGAGTACCTGAGCAGTAAAGAAGTAAGCTTCAGAATGATGCAAATGCTGGTGGATTGTGGGGAAGGTGTCACACACATTAATGTTCGCGGGGCAAGTCAGGGACTATACCACTTGCACATTTAAGAAGGTGAAACTTTTACAAAGCTAAGCCAGATCTTTTCACTGAGCCGATGCATTCAATTTGGGGTGTATTAAATACTGGGAGTAATTCTGGGGACCTGACTGACGCTTTGCTTCCTTTGACTCACACAACTACACAAGGGCCACTGGAGAGCAGCAGGGAAGGGCTTTCCCACTGGCTGTGAAGACAGTGCAGGGTGGCTGAGGGATGTACATTTGGTGTTTTGAAATTGCATAGACTTCTTGAATTTTAGTGGTCTCAATCTCTAATTTTTATTTCTAAGTGTCCTGTTTTACTTAATATTCATGAATCAGAATACGAAACATCTACCAGAGGAAATTAGAAGGACTGGTGATTTTGAATAGCTTGACCCCAGTGTAATCACCACAGTACAGCTGAGGGAGTGTTAACAGTTCACTTTAATGGTGTGCCTTAGTATTGCTGGATGTTGCTTTTCTGTAGTTAAACTTGGCTTGAATATGAATCTTAAATAATTTATAAATGTCTGTCATAAATATGGTGGAGAGGATGCTGATTTGGGCTGCGGGTTTCATTATGACTATAAATTGTACTTCATGGAGCAAACACTTTCAATAGAAATAAATAGCAAACACATTTATTGTTAGCAAGAGTAATCTTACCAGAACCTTTGAATCATGTTTGGAGTGGGGAGTGCTGACTGCTCCTACAGAAATAAAAGGGCTCTACGTGTGTGTGTGTGTGTACGTAGGTATCCCCATCGCAGTTCTTTTAAATACCTTTCTCAAGTGCTCGGTGGAGCCTGGAAAATGTTTTTCCTTTGTTTGTCTGTTACTTCTACTGTTGTAAGCTGAAGCTTAACAGAGATGCTGTTAGACTTGCGATCTCGGTGGAAAAGAGAAATCTGGAGCTTGTAAATATTTTTGGACAGAGGTCTTGCTAAAAGTATGCAGACTTGTTCAGCCAGGCTCATTTAGGGCAGCGTGTTTCCAAACTGTTCTGCAGCTCTGTGACTTATGAGTATCATGAAGATGCTATCTGTGCAGGTGATGCTGGTAAAAACACAAAGCCACAATCAGGGAGTGGGGAGGACAGCATTGATTATTCCGGGTTCGAGTGTAGGGACAGTGCAGTTAATGTTGCTGAACTTGTTACAGGCAGTGGTGATTATGGCAGATATATCACTTCTGCGCGTGTCAAAGTCCAGAGAAGGCAACTTTGCAAGACCAGTGTGGTTCATACTCTGCCAGGCTGCCCATTGCCGGGATGACCGCAGAGCTTGGCAGAGATCGGCACTGGAAAGTCTCCTGTCAGAGTGAGGACAATATGGCCATCCTGGGAAAGGACCAGAGATGTCTTCTGGAGACTTTATCAGGACTGTCCCCGAGGGCAGAAGGAATGTTCATTCCCCGATGATCAGAAGAAAACCCTGAAAGAGAAGAAGGATGGTGCCACAGCTTGCTCACGAGGCAAAGCAAATTGAACCCCACTGCTGCTCTAAGGGCTGCCTGTGCGGTAAACCCACCTCTGCCTCGTGCCATGCAGCACGAGCCTGGTGTGTTCTGGACTCGAATGGTTGGATCTGGAAAACTCAAACCATCGATTTTTGCTAGGTTTGCATTATATGTTAACATTAGAAGTACTCTCCCCACAATCATGCAGCCTGACCAGACATTTACTAGATTGCTTACAAGGATTATTAGAAATTTCCTGTGTACTTTATTTTTTTTTAATAAGGTATTGATTTCAATATATTCCTGTTCATACTTGCAATAAATTGATTTATGGTGGTAGAAATTCTGTTTTGCTGCCAAAACCTGATGGGTACTAGCTAATTCAATTTTTTCTTTTTTTTTTCTTTTTTTTTTAACCACTAGTTCTTTTTCAAAAATAAACTGGCTACTCCAGAATTGGGTTCCTTTGCTTTGCCTGACATTTTGAATGGGTCAAGGAAGGTCAAGAGACAGAAGCAAACGCGGGCATCCCAGAGATGCTGTGCTACAGTGCCACATATGTTGTGTGTCTCCTCGCAGCTCTGCGTGTTCTGTCAGTCAGACCCCTGCCACCCCCGGCACTCTCTGTGTATCAGGGTAAAATGGCTCAGTTCCACTGTTTTTCTGGCAAAACTCCTCCGTTGGCTAGAGGATTTAGGGCTATTTTAAATTAACCGTGCTCTTTTGTCTGGTGTATGACATCCAGAACTTGATTTGAATCTCTTCTGTCATTGATGTAAATGTTTTCTATAATGGTTTTGACTACCCTCTAATAAATAGGTTGATGTTTTAAAAGATACATGCTGGTGTTTCTAGTCACTGAATTTAAGTATGTCAGTTTTACATATAACACATTATAAAATCAGATACAACATATTATAAAATCAGAGACTTCAACTTTATGTAGTATTTTGTGTTTCTTAACCATATCATGTCTTCTGCCTTTCCCTTTTCAGATTATTTTTAATGAACAATTTTAGTTTTCATATGCCTGAATTACTCTGGAAAGGAGCAATCTGGGAACTGTGGAGAACAGCCATGCACTTCAAAGTTTGTGTACATGCTCCTACACTGTAATTTTGTGTTGTGTTTTTAAACAGCTGCCCTAAGAGCCATAAACATCGTTATGCAGTGTAATAATATCTCTTGACTGAGTGGCCAGAAATTAATCTTTCTGCAGGGTCGCTGTGTGGTACGTCTTCAGCCCACACAATGGCTTTGTACTAGAATCAACAGGAACAAAAGGGAGAATATTATAAATGCCTGGTGGACTCTAAATATTTTAAACAGTTTACATTCATGGGTCAGAAGAAAGTTTTAAGAACTCTGTTTTATTTCACTGTTTGTGAGCATTCGGTGTGTCCTGTGCACACCATTGCTGGACTTTGCAAGTTTCAGTGCTTTCATTTCACTTTTGATGTGAACCTGAGTGTGAAGTACCACAAAGTGTCAGTCTGTTCTCATCTGAGCGTTTGATTAAAAAAAAGTAAAATTCTTGCTGCTTTTGGTATGAAAAATGATCCAGCGTTTAAAAGGTATGTATTATAATAAGATACTGTTTAATAGATACGTGTTATCCCTTCTGCCTTAAATAGAAAGTTGTCATCGGAACTTTAGATGTATTTAAGGGCTATATTTATGTGTTTGTTTAGTTCGCGGTATACAAAAGTCATTCCTTTCAGAGTAGGTCTGAAATATCTAAGAAATACACGCAACTTTGTCCTAATAATAACTGAGTATCTCAAATGCCAAACTGTGCTCTCCCTGAAAGTCTAAAAGAAAACAGTGGAATGTGCAAATATGGAAGAAACTTAAAATACTTGAAATGTAGCCGGTAGAGAGGAAGAGGAGATGTGAGGAGGGCAAACACTGGGTTGGCAGCATCCCGCTCCGTCTGGGACAGCGCAGCCAGCTCCATCCCTCCACTCACCCTCCTTGCCCTGGAACACCCTTGGGGAAAAGAGTCACGAGTAACAAAGTTTAATAAAAACTTGGTGCTGAAAAAGAATAATTTTCCGGTTTTGGATGGCGTCCACTGTGTGGTGAAACTGCTCGTGTGGAGCGGGTGTGGAGGGTGGTACTGCATATGGGGCAGTTGTCAGATATACAGCGCAGTGTCTCGCAGTCCATACGTGAAAGTCTTCACTTAATGTAAACTTGAGTTGCGTTCTTTGGCAGTGATAGCGTTGAGTAATTTCTAAAACATTGTTTGACTGTGTATTTAAGAATAGTGACCCCAAAATCCTGGCAGAAAAAAGGAATGTGGTCCTATTTTCTTTTGTTTTGTTTTGTTCTGTTCTTTAGTGAGGAATTTTATAAACTTTTAAGAGGAGTGAAATAAAAACACAATTAAAAAACCCTTCACAAAAAACCCAAAAGCAGCCTGAAAATATTAAAAATTGAGATTCTGAGGTCTTTGCACTTTCCCTTCCTGGTTTCCAAGCAGCCCTTCTTGGAGGACTCTCTTTGTCATAGGAAAAGGAAAATACAGTTGTGTTCATTTCACAAGTTAGATTCTTTTTTTGTGTGTTATTAACAGGTTTGGCAAACATCGCAAAGATGACAAGAGTGAGAAAACTGGTAAAATAAAAGTGCAGGAAGCTCTTACTTCAGAAGAGGAGAGAATACGAATGAAGCAAGAACAGGAGAGGTAGACTTCAGTATTTGCTTAAACCTTGATAGAGGGAGTTTGTTTTTAAATTAAATAACTGAAGTTCAGTTTTCACTGATGAAATTTCTCAAATGTTGATATGTTTATATACTTTAAATAACAAGACAAAGCTGGATTTATTTTGGACATTAGTATCAACAGCTTTTTTGGCTGCATTAAGCATCTTTTATAGACCCAGAGCTCCTTTCCTTATTGAGGAGACTGGAGTAATAATATGAAATATTTTCTCTATACATTCTATAACTGATTTTATTGACATTTTCAGAAAACAAATATTTATATAGAATGAAATATGTTTTGTATTTTTCTTGAGTCTTGCATATCTAGTTTTTTCATTGATATATTTAGAAAAAAAGCTAAAAATTATACTTATCAGTATATTTGTCACTGGAGTTCAGTCTATTTATGTGTCATGCAGTCTGTTTATGGAATGATATGTATATTAAACTGCTAATTGTAAAAATGAGTGGTGAGTACCTCTATTTTTCCTTGTCAGCTTCCCTTACCATTAAAAACCTATATATGTCATGCTCTTCTCAACATTTCCAATCTACTTTTCATCCTGTCTCTTGTAGCCCCAGATATTGGGGCTTAGACTCTGGTATCTCTTACATCAATTTAGTCAAAATCTTGGAAAGCTTAGGTCATAAATTAACTAGTATTCAGGGATGCGCGTGGAGAGAAGACCTCTTTGAGTAGACAGATCTTCAGTAAGGAGACAAACTAAAGGCTTACAAAGTTTGAATGCTGAATGGTAAATAGGTTCAGATACATTTAGCAGTGAAAGTGAACTATTAATTGGGATGATGTATCTAAAAATTATGCTATAGGTCAGCCATAAATTGAGGATTGGTGCAGGAACTATGGAGGGAAATTTTGTGGTCCTTGTACAGGAGGTATGACTACTTAGTCCTAATGATCCCTTTGACCATCATCTCTATGCACCTTGGTCTTCTGTGGGTAAGAACAGAAGTTTATAAACGATAGCTTCATCACTCTAACAGCTCACCGGAAGAGCAGAGCCACAGTAACTCTTGTGTAGTCCCCTCAGTTAAATCTAAAATGGTTTGCTTTCAGTTCTTTCAGGCTTGAGTGATTTACATTACAGTTAAGGCAGGCTAGGAGTATACATTTCTTAGTTACTGAAGATCAGCAGTAACTTGTTAAACTGCAGAAACTTTATCACTTGTGACCATCTGTTTGGATTACATTATGGGAAATTTTTTACTCTTTAACAGATATACTAGCATAAATTAATGAAAAAAAAAATTCATGTCTTTCTCCATCCATTCTGACAGTAGAGGGTGGCTGGATCACAGTGCTTGGTTATTTTTTACTTGTCTGATTGGGTTTTATTTTCCTTTTTTTAACAAAAGTGAAGCAGGGTCATTAAATTTGTTCCTGTTTTTAAGAGTAATGTGCTTTCAGATTAAATGGTAAAGGGGAATACTGGAACTGAAGGAAGTAAGTGACTTTGGATATGAGGGTGTTCATGCAGTCAACTTCCCTTTACTTCCCTTTCCCTTTCCCTTTACCCTTTCCCTTTACCAGCCACTTTGTGAATAAACTCATGCCAGGGGTGCAGAGACATTGAAAGCTGCCTCCATCGCTCCAGCCGGCTCAGGGCAGGGGGAAGGTTAGCCACACGTGCACAGTGCCGAACCCAAGCTTGCCCAGCAGAGAGAGTTTCTTAGTAACCTTATGTCCCCAGAAAATCAGCCATATACATTTATTCAAAGAAGAAAGACTTGAGGTTTGAGTTAGTAACGCTTTCTCTCTTTCCATTCTCTCTCTCTGTGTCTCTGTGTCTTTCTGTCTCTCTCAGTAAGAATGGTGAGAGTATAGACTGTCCATGTGGTGATGTAAGAGAGGTTGCAATAGTCACGCTGGGTACCAAGGTAGAATTATGAAATTATTGTATAGCCCCTCAATGCATGAAGCAAATTCCTAATCTCTGTCCATCAAGTTATGCTAACCGATTTGAATCTTTCCTGGAATCTCACTCCTCGTGTGTCATAAAAACAGTTTCATGTGTTCACTGAAACGGCAGAAAATGCATGTGCCAGAACTTCATAACAGCTTGATGTTATCCTCCTCCTCCCGTTACTTTCTTTCCATAACTGTGTATTTGCTTTCCTTTGTGTTATGTCTTTAAGAGAATGCAAGTTCTTTGGGGTAGCGGCATGTACAACTAATAAAAGACAATAAAATAGCAACCAAATGTGTGAGGTGCTTCCTTATGTTTCTGAAAAATTCAGATGTTGATTTGGTCCATAAAGTCTAAATATTTTTGCAGTTAGATTGCAGGGAGTTTCCTTTTGATCCTGTAAAATAATGATGTTAGATACATGCTATTAATGAAGAGTACTCTTGCAAATTAACTGAACAATCCCTCAGAATGCTTACTGGCAGGCAGAGTAAAATATTACTGTCTTAACAGATGTTGGTTCATAATGGCTGCTATTTTAACTTTTGTTTTCTGTGGGTTTTTTCCCCCTCGATGTTTTTAGCAGTACAATTCACTTGCTCTGCTTTACTTGGTATTTGATACTATATACCTCTATAATGATGCAATACTTTGGGGAAATAGGTTGGATTTAATGAATTTACTATGTATGAGAGGCTAGGAGCAAAAATCCTTAGGGGGTCAGAGAACAAGTGAATGGTCCATTAAAAAATCAATCATGCCCACAATTTTATGGAATTATTATGCCTTGGCTTGATAATTTTAATAGTATTGTGCTTACAGTAGTATTTTCTTTGAAGTCTTAAAAGTAGTGTTCATATTGATTGTGAGACAAATAAGCAAATTAATGTTCTTTAATTTACCATGATTGAAATGAATAAAATTGCCTTTTATAAACATATTATTAATAATAATTTCTTTTTAAGGAGCATATCTCAAGCTGTATATGGTATGCGTTTACTGACAATCTTAAAGTAATTTTGAACAGAAAATGAAATTATCTAGTTGAAAATACAGGCAGCTTTCAATGAAACAGTATATTGGAACAATTAGGAGCGTCATCTGAGGAGACCACCCACTGATCTTACCAAAATTGCTGTAAAATGCTTTCTATTTATAAATTCTCCAAGTGTTGGATTAACAGTTCATCCAAGGCCATAGGACATTGTCCCCCTGTGTCACTATTCTTTAACACTGGTTTACTCCAGAGAAAGAAGTCTGCTTGCGTTACCCTTGAGTGTCTGCCAAACAATGATCTGAAAATCCATATGGGTTCTGGTGTGCTGTTAGAAAAGGTGCTTCTTCCCAGCAGTGGCACCAATCAAAACCTTAAGACAAAACTGAAAAATAGGTTTTCTGAACTTGGCCTTGTGTCTCCTAAGAAAGAGACTATACTGCAGAGTCTTGAGAAAGTCGAGTAAGATCTGCATTGAATTAGCTCTACTCCTGTGCCAAATCACAGCTGTTTTATATATATGCTAACTTGGAACCCCTCTTTGCCATGTTGTCATCCCGTCCATCACTGGACTACTAAAACCGGATACCACTGACATGCTACATCTGCTCAGATAGACTGCAGAAACAGTCTTGAGCCCTTCTTGGTTTTGTTATAGAAGGTCATCTACCAATTCCAGACTTTTCCGATGCACCTGTGGTTGGCCCAGCCTCCTAAGAATAATGTCTTGGGTGTTACAGATTGGAGATGCGTGGGGTATCTTGAGCTTTCGAAGATGCTTCAGACTGCTTATAGTTTCACACAGGTATTGCTATGTAGAATAGACTTAAAACCAGATTTTGAACCTTTTGTCAATGACCAAGAGGAATTTAGTGTTACAACCCAGTTCGTTTTCATATGGATGGTCACCTTCTGCTGTGCTATTGGACCTAAGCCTTTGGAAGCTCACACACCTGTCCACTTTAGAAACTCTCTACATCTGGGCTTCGAGGGCCTCCCAGGATAGGGTTTTCTCAATATGTAGCTGGTGTGTCCATTGGTACCCTGCAACCTGATTGCCCTGAAATGTTTTTTGACTTCTTCAAGACCTTGTAGTATAGGTTTTTCCTTAAAAGATGTGAAGATAGAACCTGCTCTCTTGTCTTGGTTTACTGGTGGCCCTTGCTGGAGAGAGACATCACTCTAACAGCAGGTTCTGATACCTTCGTCTCTCCCTCTTTTACCCTTGGATTTTTTCCTTGGATATCTTTTTTGTTGCTTTTTTTTTTCCCCCTGCAGCTCTGTCTTCATTACAAAATAAATCTTTAGCAAATCAAAAACCTTCGCCTGTGTTCTGCCCTTCTTCAGCTCAGGCACGTGCAGTTCTTAACACCCGCCTGGCAAGGCCATGCATGCCGGGGCCGTGTCTTCAGCCTTGGACTGACTTCCTCTAGCAAACCAAGTGCTCCCCGACCCAAACAGCTTTACTCTTTGTACCCGGGTAGTAGATAACGGAGGAATGAAATAAACATACTTCTTCGTGAAGTTTTCAACAAATTCAGCTGTATCCAGTGTGGTTCACCGCTAGATAATGCTTAAAAGATGAAAGTTGCAATTCTAATGTAATCTCATGCTTCAGCATATCTGATCCCAGCTATGGGCGAGTAGTGCTTATGCTTTAATCTGCCTCTAGAGGCACTTCCTCCTCTTAAAAAAAGAGTCTACAGGATATTTTCTCTGTTTGGTTAGTACATTGACTTAAGAGTTTTACTAATGTTCTATAAATCTCTGGGCTACTGTAAAAGTCTTTTAATCTTAGTATTGTATTCTTCCTCAACTTCCACTGAAATGGATGCAAAATCAGGTGCTTAAACACCTGTGTTGTGAGGATCAGTATTGAGGAGATAAGGAGAAACCTTTTGGAAGAGAATTAAAGAGCTGTTCTGCTGGAAGCGCTGTGACAGAGGCTCCAGAAACGCTGGGAGGATGACGGAGCGGTCAGGTGGGGGCTTTTGGAGCCAGGGGCTTCCTCTGCTCTGAAAAAGCAGCTGTACAGTTCCAGTCTGTGCTATACTTGTTGGAGGACAATTAGCACACAGCAAAGCAATACCATGCTTCGTACGAACATATGTATAGTTATCATCTGGAAGAGAAACCTGCTTCTTTGCCAGTTTCCCCCCTCTCGGTTGTGGAAAACATAACCTTTTGTTCCTTTAGGTTACAAAGGGAATTAAATTTACGTAATTCCGCTGTTACCGTTACCCACGCCTGTGCAAATGTCACCCGTGCCGGCATCGGTCGTGCGGCGGGGCCGGCGCCTGCGGGCTGGGGCGGCGGGGCCG